GAGGGAAGGAAGGAAGGTGCGGCGGGCTGGGCCAAGGTGCTTTCTGCACCTCCCCTCCACCTCTGTCACCCCGTAGGTAAATGATGCAGGTAACTGAATGAAGCGGCTCTTTGTGAGAGGATAGGGCAGAGGGAACGGCAGAAAACAGGAAGACTTTTGGAAAGGTGGAAGAAAGTTTGAGGAAGCACTAGAATGGACAGTGGACATGTGAACTTTCATGTACACGGTTAAGCCCATCCTCCTTTTGTGTGTGTGTGTGCCAGACAGTGTGTGTGTGTGTAAGGGGGCTGACGGAATCTCTCAAAACGGGGTGGAGAGATTGAGTAGAGAGACAGACACAGAGAAAGAGGGGCACCATGTATGGTTATTCTGACACGCTGCCCTGTTGACCAGATCCAAATAAAGGCATGATGACCACATAGCACTTCGGCTCTTCTCACTAAAACATCCATCCATCTGTCCATCTGTCTGTCTGTTAGTCAGTAGCCTGAATGAGGCTGCATGGTTGGCTGCGCAGCTTGTGTTTGCCAAGTAAAAATTTCCCTCATTCTGTCCTGTCAAAGTAAAAGCTTTTCTCTGCCACTCAACAGTGTCTTAGTTTCCCTTCAGCGTAAAAAGTTTGTATTTTCTTTATTGAACTTTGCTGTTAAGTGTTATGGTGCTATATTATAGCAATGTAAGGTGCTCTACATGAGGTGAGCTTGCTGGTTTCTGTGGTGCAGAATAAGGAAGTGCAATTTTTTTAAAAGCAGCAGCGCCACTCTGTGGTGAAAACAGGGCTGTGCTCTCACAACCAACAAAACTTCAATACCGATGGTCTTACAGCAGCAAGACTTTGACAGACTTTGAGATGATTTCCCAAACTCTCTTTAAGCAATCTGACATTAACAAATCCTTACATGTCTGCAAAAACACATAACTCTAGAAACACAAGATAAGAGGCATCATATGTTGATAGCATTTGTGTACATTTTGGATTTTGTTGCCTCAACACACTACCAGCCTCCGTTTGTTAGCCCTATTATTTTAGTAAGAGGATATCGTAGGAAACAGAGGCAAACTGTTTCAAAATTTAAGACTTCTTACTACAATGGGTGCTGACTGGTGGATCATACTCAACAAATTAAACATAGACACTTGTTCACTCCACAAATCCACCACTTTCTCCTTCTTTTCCACAGCACAAGACAACAGAGAGTTGTTGACATTCTTGCACATGGAGTCCCTCAATGTTTACTGTCTACCTGGTGTGCTGGAGGAGAAAGCGCAGTCATTGGTTGTTGCTACTGTTCACGTCATGAATTTCAGCACTTACAAGACTAGCCAAGACTAAAAATGTATAACAGTATTAAACATGTCTGATTTTGTCAGAATGTCAAGATGAGAAAAAGACTGTGTATTATCACCACCTTACACCAAACACTCAACTCTTATGATTTTACTCTGACACAGAACAATTTGTCTGCAGCAGTGAAATTGCTTGAAAAGCCCTTTGGCCTGCATTAATGGCTATATACAATGCATCCTTAAAGTGGCTCACTGGTTTTGTGGGTTGGTTTGTTTGCAAAGCATGCACACAGCAAACAGAAACACAATACACACACACGCACGCACACACACGCACACGCACATGCACACACACACACACACACAAACACGGACAGAGTTCAGGGCTCCAGAGCTCAGTGTTTTCATTACTTAAAAAATGTTGCATGTTCAAACAGGTGGTGAACCGATCTGTCTTGACTGGCAGGGCCCTGTCAGCTGTTCACTCACTATGATGAACTGATAAGTTGCCACCACTGCACTTTCCTCATTTCACCTTGTTTGTTTGCTTCCTTGTCTCTTTTACGGGTAAAGAGTCAACAAGTTTTCGCGTCTTTCTCATATTGTTAATCTTCATTAAGTTATATAACTGCACTTTAAACTGCTTCAGGTGTGTTGTTGGGCTGTGATCTTCACTTTGGTCTGTTATTTTATTACCTATAATGAGGCTAATTGTACTAAGGTGACTAGAATTTCCCAGCAACATATGCTGACCTTTTAATTCCCAGCTGATTTAGGATCACTTCCTTCAGGCAGTGCAGCCATGACGTTTATTTGCAGGTCCATCCAGACGCTCAGACATGGTTTGTTGACTGCAGTTGTACTACAACTTCAACAGGTCTTTGAACGTAAATCGACTGAAGCAGAAAATAAACTCTGTGGTTCAAGCAGCCTTGGGATATGTATGTATCTTTTCATAAGCACAGCAACATTAATAAAAAGTTAATACTTGTCTAATTTGTAAGATAAAAGTGGTTCAAGTCTTCAGACACCAACGCTCAAAGGTTCTCCAGCTTCAGGCTAAACTACAGACATACTTCAAATTAACAACCTACAATTGGACCTGAAATGAGCTACAAATGGATGGCTGGATAATAAATTGGAAGGGTAATGAAAGTAATTTTCTCTAGTTAGACGTAAAAAACGTCCTTATTTACTACTCTAATGAAAATGTGTTAGGAAGTTAATTTTCATATTCTCTTATTGGCTGAATGATTTTTAAATTGCACAGAAAGTCAGGGGAAGACACTATGGAAAACACTTTACAATGACCTAACACTACAAGTTGTTGGCTTATTTCAGCTTATTCAGCATGCCGATTGGTGTTGGAGCTGGTGGGGCCTGCCAGTGAGAGAAATCACTCTGATTGGCAGTTCAGCTTCATACATGAGAGGAAAACAAACGGCTAAAGTCAGGAGGGTGTGAGATCGAAACAAACTTGTTATAGTGGGTAAGTTTATTGTTTTAGCCATTGAGCTCCTTAACAGAAACCGTTCATAACACTTTGTGTTACTGTTGGCTCACACACGGTAATATACTTTGTTCTTTCAGCATCAGATTGTGTTGTTAACGTGCTAACTGCCTAAATAGTGTCTTGAATCTGTCCTGTCGGTCTTACAGGTTCCCTTTCCTACTGCCGCCTGCTGGTATGGAGAGTTATTTCCTCTCCAGCAGGTGCAAAACCTACTTGCTGGTTGGCTATTGGCTGTAGTCTTTGTGGTGTGTTCAGGCACAACTTTCAACAGTCGGCCGTTGTAGCCACTTGCTCTTTGATGTCTTTGATAACCTTCAGTCAAGCATTTAACCAAAACTGCTTTGAAATCATAATCATTTAAATAAATCCTTTAAACAAATAGTCTTCATACTCAACATGTAGTGTTCAATGTAGATTTAATATGTTAGTAAATAGTCACTGCAGCTAACTAAATCCTATACAAGCGGTAACCTGTAGTGATGAGAGAGGCTAGCTGCATTAAAAAATAACACATAAGGTGGTAGTGCTCGGAAATTAGCTAATCAAATGTTATCTTTAATCCCGATTTTGGATTCCAATGATTATGAAAGCAAGACAATTGAGATAAAATTAATATTATGCCGCATTCCATTTCTCAATGATGCTCCTGTTTTGTCTTGTGTTACAAATCCAGTGCACCCCTCTACAGCGGTGTATATTCACCCCTCCCTGAAGCCAAAATTCATTCTCAACCAGGCTGTGGCATGTTTAGTTTAGCTCAAGCTAAGATGACAGAAAGAAAGCCTTTGGCCAATGAGTGTTAAATAATCACAATCTCAATACTGACCAAAATGATTTTTGCTCTCATCAAGTAGCCCTCAGAGGTGCAAACTGCTGAGCTGGCTCTGCAATTTACTGTGAAAACACTAACACTGATTAGGTAACATTTCTACCTGTGAAGACTCACCCATAGCTGCTGGAAATAACTCATCCATGATGCCCATGAGAAATAATCCATCCTTCTTCAGTGTTCAATGTTTTTTTTAAAATCCCTACAGTACGTCTTTGAAAATGAATGTTGTCTTTACGCACAAAAAAAAGCAAAATGAAAGCAGCAGTCAGATGCAGAGGAAGTCATAACCTCACTTCCTGTTAGATCGCTTGATGTCGTAACAACGCTTCTTCATGCATGCACTACCGGACATAGAGTTCATACAGTACTTTTACAGTCGACTGAAAGGTTCAGCCTATTTCTCACCCCAGTGTATCATCTTCAGGGGTGCAATTATTTGTTAGCATGAATTAATTGAGAATCAAACACATTCAAAACTATACTTTTTATTGTCACACCTTCTGAGTCAACACTCTCCTTTCTCCAACACTCTGTACTCTGATATTTCTTATTGTCAGATACAAGCTCTCGCTGTCAGCAAAAGCAGATACTACGACTGTCACATGACACGTAGATGTAGGTTTCAGGCCATGCTTGTTTCATTACTCAATGTCACACCTACACACGCACACACACACACATACATGCACAAATCCACGTTCTTAAGCTCTGACTGAATCTGGGTGAAGCAAGTATAGCAAGATGTTTTCCCCTCGTGCTACAGGAATGCCAGTGTGTTGGTGCAGGTGAGGGTTGTGTGGTTGCCAGGCCGATATGATTCAGAGGTGAAAAAACCACATTTACATGTACACTCCTGTCTCTGTGCTCGACCTCACCCTATCTGTGTGATTGAACAATTTATCCTTTCATAAAACTATGCTCGTGTTCACAAAAACAAAATGAAGTCAAGTTGCATTTAAGCGGCCAAGTGTAAGATTTCGGGGGATTTATTTGCATCTAGCTGTGAGGATTGCAGATTGCGACCAGCTGAAACTTCTCCCGGTTAGAATTCCTGCAGCTTTCATTGTTCAGGAGGTTTTTACTAGGAACTGAATTATCTGCACAGGTCTCTTCCTCTCCAAAACAAATGGAGCAGGTGATTTAAGGCACTAAAAACACTGAATAAAGCAGTGTCACGTTACAAATCAGGGTTTTTCTGATGCTGTTTGGCTCGTCGAAGAAGGTCCAATAGCAGTGCAACATGGCGATATCTCTATATCAGGACTGACTTCCTGTGTAGATAGAAACGGCTAATTCTAAGGAAACAAACACAAATATATCCCCAAAAATCCTACACACTGGACCTTTAAATCTGACTTTTGTATTTACCTCCTGCTTGTCTTCTTCTTCCACTACATCTTCTTTTGTGTTCTCCTCTTCCTCCCCCTCTGTCTCCTTCTCTTCCTCTACCTCCATGGAGATGAGCAGTCCCTCCTCTGGCCTCTGGTTCTCCTCCTTCTCCTCGAACTTTGGACTTTCTTGGGCTGGTGTAGGCTCTAGGCTGCGTGGTTTCTCCACCTGTTCTGGCACTTTATATTCTCTTGGACTGACATCCAGGGGCACCAGCTCTTCCACTTCCTTTTTATCCACAGAGGCAGCTTCCCTTCTCCGGATGGGCGGACTGGTTTCTTCTTTAGCTTGCGTGCCCCATCTCAGTGGTTTGACTGAAAAGTCGTCAAAGTCCACCTTTATCCCAGCCGGTTTGACGGAGAAGTCATCATAAACAACTTCTGCTTCTTGTGCCCGCTTTCTGTTCAACTCCTCTCGTATTTTTCTCTCCAGCTCCTCCAGTCTTTCTTTCTCCATCTGCTTCTTCCTTTCCTCCTCCTCTCTCCATTTCTCCATCTCCATTTGCCTCATTCTCTCCATCTCTTCTTCTTTTTCTTGCTGCTCTTTCAGCCTCCTTTGCCTCTCCCTCTCTCTTTCCTCCTCCTCTCCTAATCTTTCTTTCCCCCTGTCCTCCTGTCTGAGTCTCTCCTCTATCTGTCTGGCCTTCTCCCTGTCCTCCTCTTTCTGTCTCTGCCACATCGCCTCCAACTCTTTCTCTCTTTCCCCCTCTTCTTCTTCTCCTCTCTGCATCTCTACCTGTTTCACCCACTCTTTTTCCCACTCCTCCTCTCTGTGTTTTGCTTTACTCCATCTCCTCTTTATCTCTCCCCCCTCAGTTGTATGCTCCTCATGGTTATGAATTGATCTCTCCTCCTCTCTTAATCTTGCTCTCTCCCTCTCCTCCTGTCTGAGTCTCTCCTCCATTTGTCTGGCCCTCTCTCTTTCCTCTTCTCTCTGTCTCTGCCACATCAACTCCAACTCTTTCTCTCTTTCCTTCTCTTCTTCTTCTCCTCTTGGCTTCGCTGCCTCTTTCACCCACTCTTTTTCCCACTCCTCCTCTCTGTATTTCGCTTTACTCCATCTCCTCTCAAGCTTTTGCCCCTCAGTTCTATGCTCCTCATTGTCACGAATCGATCTCTCCTCCTCCTCTCTCAGCCTTTGTCTTTCTCTTTCCTCCTTCTGTCTCTCCTCTTTCCTCTGCTCCTCCAACAATCTCTCTCTTTCCCTCTCCTCTCGTTCTTGTTTCAGTCTCTCCTCCTTCTGTTTCGCCCTCTCTCTTTCCTCCTCTCTCTGTCTCTGCAACATCATCTCCAACTGTCTTTCCCTCTCCATATCTTCTTCTCTCAGCCTTTGTCTTTCTCTTTCCTCTCTCAGTCTCTCCTCTTTCCTGTGCTCCTCCAACAATCTCTCTCTTTCCCTCTCCTCCTGTTCTTGTTTCAGTCTCTCCTCCTTCTGTTTCGCTCTCTCTCTTTCCTCTTCTCTCTGTCTCTGCAACATCAGCTCCAACTGTCTTTCCCTCTCCATCTCTTCTTCTCTCAGCCTTTCCCTCGCCTCCTTCCGCTGTCTCTCTATTTCCTCCTCCCTCAGTCTTTCTCTCTCCCTTTCCTCTTCTTCCCTCTGCCTTGCCATCTCTTTCTCTCTTTCTTCCTCTTCCTTTTTTCGTTTCCGCTCCTCTTCCAATACGAGCCTTGCCTGTTCGTTCTCCTCTGCTCGCCGTCTTTTTTCAAATTCCAAATGTTTCAGTCGTTCTTCTTCCTCTCGCGCCTCATCATCGTTCTTCTTCAGAAGACCTCCTACTCTTTTGTAGACAGGCACTGAAACAGAGATGTCCTTCCCTGCTTCATCCCCAGAGGCCTCTTCTTCTTCGCTGGAATCAGACGGTGAGCCCAGGATCAGTGGAGGCCCACCATCATCTCTCTCTACGACACCAAAGTGAACAGATCGACGTTTCACACCACCCCTCTTCAGAGCATGTTGATCATTTTCACTTGAGGTGGAAGTGTGGGGCATAGATGAGCTGCGATTGCGTAGTCGGACATCACCCTCTGTTGCCTTGTTCTGCACACGCTCTCCTGGTGTCTCACTTGGGCCTTCCGACTTAACTTCAGTAGGAGCATCTCTAGATATTTCCATTGGGGTCTCTGTGGGTTGTTCGGCAGGTGACACCTCTGAAGGAAGATCCACGGCCTGACTGGGAGAAATCTCAGATGCAGGAGGTTCAACAGGCTGCATTTTGGGTGTTTCCTCTGCTGTTGGAGCAGCTGCTGGCTCAAAGCTGTGGAAAAGATAACAGCAGTTCAAGGTGAAAAATGACAGTTAAAAGAACAATACCATCAATTTTAATACAACCAAGCACATTTTACATAACTTAGAATACCTTTCTAATGACTGTATGCTAAATCCAAAGCTACAGCAAGCAGCATGTTAGCTTAGCATAAAGTTTAGAAACTGGGGAACACAGCTAGCCTGGCTCTGACCAAAGTTTAAGAAATCTTCCTACCAGCATCTCTTAAGTTTTGTTATTAACATTATGTCATTTTGTATGTTTAGTCTATGCAAAGAATGTTATATAAATATGTGAAAAGTTTGGGTTTGATGGTTTTGAGGTGTGGTTTAACTAGGTCTTGGCCTAGTGCTCTGACTTCCTGGAGTCTCGTCTTCACAGTGAGGTTGCCAGGCGACCAGCAAAGACTCCAGACTGGCAATTTTACAAAGAATGGATTGACAGCACCATGAACTGCTCATCACCTTTAACCGTTATCTGCCCTGTCTTAAGGTCCAGTTCAAAAAAGATATTGCCCTCATAATATTACAGGGCAAACATGCCCTAAAAGTTTTGCAACTGAGTGTAGTTGACTCTTTTATACGTGTCTGATTGCAATTATCTATATGGCAAAGTATAAATGTTGCCTTTATGCCAAGAATACAGTGGACAGAACAATGAGGGCATTTTCCCACTGTGACAGGTACTGACTAACAAGGTGCGGTGATATTCCCCCTTTTTCAGTTACCCCCAACTCTTTGAAGATGCTAATAATTTCACTGTTACTGTGTGTGGCTATAAGCACTGAACTTGGTGAATTTGCAATGAGGCTCATTTGCATAGAAAGGGGACAATTCTGCGCCAAATATTTGCATCTCAGCATAGCAAATAGCACAAGAGCCCTGAGATGCTATTAGCTTGGCAGTGCAGTTAAGTGCGCATTTCCCTGTTTGTGAGTCCTTTTGTGAATTAGCCCCCATGTGTTGGCCTAATTCTGAGTTTTAGAGACTTTGGACAGAGCCAGGCTAGATGGTTCCCCCTGTTTCCAGTCTTTATGCTAAGCTAAGATAATCACCTGCTGTCCTCAGCGTCATATTTATCATATAGACAGTGGTATTGATGTTCTCATCTACCATTCAGCAATTGTGGTTCTCAAAGCACTGAAAGTATATATTTAAAAAATTCAACAGTAATGTCTCTTTTCAGAAACAGTGTCTCTGTTACTCTGGATCATCAACAGAACACACTGTTAATAGTTTTCATAGGAACTATTTCTTTGGTATAAAGAGTTGACAGGAAGATCTCTCTTCAAACCAGTGGGGACATGTCTCTTCACATCTGTTGTAGTTGGAACCGCAGCAGAAATCTTTGAGATGGATTGCTCAATACCTGGTTGTATAAACAAAACTACATGAGTGGCTTAATACTGAGGGGAACTGAGAAAATGGGTGAACATACTCTTTACTCTGCACTCATATAGTAAGTTGGACATCTAATCTTAATATGCGCACTCTTATCTGGACTTTGTAATTTAAGGACATAAATCTGGCCACAAATCTTGATATTGAAAGCTGTGTTATTCATTTACCACACTGCCACTGATGTCAGCACAAAGTACAGTAGATTAGGAAAGGGCAAAAGAAAAGAAGACGGTGCTGGTGATACCAATGCCAAACAGTTTCAGACTTTCACTCATCTCTCCCTGATTTTTTCACAGTAACTGGGAAACATTACATAAGACACTGGAAAAACCCTTTTCTTTTCTCCCTGAGGAAACCAAAAAAAAACAATAAAAACAAAATAACAATCCACTCTGCAGTGTAATTCTATAAGCACCAATGAGGCATGAATTGGTATCATATTGAGCAGAAAGATAACAAAACAGTTCATATTAAAAGTCTGAAGTGTGGACATGAAAAGACTCTGGATCAGTTGCACGCATCTAATCACAAAAGATGAATGTGAAATGAAAAGTACAGCCCTGGTCAATAATAGACAGCCGTAATAATATGCGCCATTAACTGCGCCATTGAAAACAAACTTCATGCTTGATTGCACTTGTAAGAGAATGTTCTTTTCCCTTGACTCATGTCTAAACATGTCACCAAACACAAACAGCACAGATGAAAGGAGGCTTGCTTACCTCTTAGAGCGAGGTCGGGGTGCAACCTGAGGCCTCTTCTCAGTCTTCGGACCCTCAGGGGTCGTTTCTGTGACCCAGTTTTTGATTCTCTCCTTTACACCCTTCACACTCTCTGTGCCGTTTGTAATTTCTGGCTCCTCTCTCTTTGTCATGACCTCTGGCCTCGATGATGAGTCAAACAGGAGACTGATCCTGCGTTTTATACTGCTGCCTCCGGTGTAATCCTCCTTCAGTCCTCCTTCATCGCTCTCTCTGTTTGATGGCTCTGTTGTCGTCTGGCTCACCTCTGGATCTGAAGGCCTTGGCTTCTTTGTATCATCTCTGGTGGTGGTTGTAGAGGTGGTTACAGTTGGCTGGGGAGGCAGAGATAGGCCACCTGACTCAAACTTCGAGGTGAGCTCCATGGACAGACGCTTCCTGCCGCTGCCCCATCGATATTCTGGATTGTCTTTAGAGGAGACGTCACTTTCTGGTTCTTGAACATTGTGGATGACAGAAGCGTGTTTTTCATCTTCTTTCTTTCTCTCCTCTTTCTGCTCTGGTTTGGTTACGATTTCCGTAGATGCTTTGTGGTTTGCTTGGATGACATCGTCTTTCTGGATTGGCTCGGATTTGGGTGTTTCTTTGGGTGGAGTGGTTTTTGAGGCTGGATCAGATTTTCCTACAGTAGAATCAAGGGTATCCTCTCCACGTGGACTTGCTTTGCTTTCTTTGGTTGTGTTTGCTTGATCTTTGGTGGGCACACTTACAGGGCTGGGTTTGGAATCAGAGGTGGTGGTTTGTTGGGGGGGTTTCTGAGCGGGGGCGGTCACAGTCGGTTTGGGGACTCCTGCGGCCTTGGGTTTAACAGTCGGCTGCGTTGTTTTCTTAGAGCTTGCGGCGACCGTCTTTGGGGCATGGATTGAGCGAATGGTGGTGTTCTTCTGCAGAGAGAAGGGCTTGGGAGCGAGCCGAGGTTTGGGGGCCAGACCTGGCTTGGGGTTTGAGGTGCCACCACTCTGGGAAACCTCAACGGAGCTCTCCATAACTGAGTCACTGAAAAAGAAAAGGAGAGGAGGTGTTTACATACAGCAAAAACTACATATTTACATTGAATAAACATTGTCGCTCCCAGCTGAGACGCAGCCAGTTGATCATGTCTTTACAAAGAAAACTGGATTAGTCTGGTCTGTCTAGATTTTTGAAAGCACATTACCTCCTGGGTCAAAGAAAAACTAATCAGTCCCTCAGAACATACGCCAGAAACTATGACAAGTGTTTCTGCTTGAAGCCTTTTTATTTAGTTTTCTTCCTCAGTTCAGTTCACTTTTGAATAATAGCCTGTTAACAATTTCTGTGCTCTACAAAATTAAACCAATTTAAATGGCCATTGTAGTCCAGATCTGACCTGTCAGTCGCTGTCACTTTTTCAGCCTGGGGGTTAATTGTTATGTTGTAAGTGACATCTGACAGCTCATCTTGATTGAAGATGTCCAAAACTTGACTTAAAGTCAATGAACAGAGAGAAGTTATGCATAGGATGGGTAGCTAAAATGCATTTCCTGAAGTTCTTGAATTGTCCAACCAAGGAAGGATGAACTATTTCTTTTTGCTGTTAGCAATATGTACTACATTTTATTATTTGAAAATAATATATCAATACTTGGCCCTTTCAAGAATTTACCTACTAAAATGCCACATCTATCTAATTACATGTTATTGACCTTCTGTTGAGGATCTTTGATAAGTTCATCATCACCTCAAAGTGCACCCAGTGAGTAAACAGCTGTGGTCATGTAATTGGGTGACACTACTCAGATCTCTTCAAGACAAGTTGATAGTATATCATACGTCCAAGTTGTACAAGTTAAAGGTCTAGTGTGTAGGATTTAGTGGTATCTAGCAGTGAGGTTGCTAAGTTTGTGTGTTCTGGGTTGCTTTAGAAAAAGCATGACAGACTCCGTGGAAGAGGACTAAGCAGCAGGCTCCCGAGCAGAAAAATGAAGCTGACACAAAAGTGCCAAAAACTGCAGTTCTTTGAATGGCCACTTGAGGCTGGCTCCAGATGCCAATCAATCCCCGTAACCCCCCATGTTAAGATGCCCAACTTTACAGGGGAGATAAACATGTTTACAGCATGGTTCAAAAAATGGTTTTGGACTCTATAGTTAATTTTGACATTTATGACAACTGTACTGAGGGTGAATCTTTATATAACGCGCCCATTAACATTCAATTCAGGCTTAAAGGGTGAGTCGCTTTGAGTGACAGGCTATCTGCAGATATTGTCCAGATCCACCCCCCTTGCTCCACAGCTCCAGCCTATCACCCAAATGTGGTCACTTCCAAAAACCAAGATGGCAACAGCAGAAATGCCAAACTCAAGGCCTCAAAACCACAAACCAATGGATGGTCTCACAGTAGCTAGATCCATTATTTTTACAGTCTCTGAAGAAGACCTGCTCCAAGAATTTGCATTTCTTAGGATAGCAAAGGCATGACCTGCCCTACTTTGCCCCTGACTGGCTAGTACTTGTTGCCTTCATTGGTTGGGTTGGTTATGATTAGGCAACGGGAGTGAGATTGGCTTGAATTGGGATAAGAATGTCGGTGTAAGGCAATCAGAGGCAGAGTAAAGCAGAGTAGGGTGGGTCATGTCTTCACTATCCTAGGAAATGCAAACTCACATCTGCTCTGTATGTAGACGTACATGGCTCATTCTACGGTAATGAAAACCATTTTTAGTGTCAGGTGATGAATATTATATTCCATTTTGACCAGTATATCCCGCTAAATCCTACACACTGGACCTTTAAGTCTTTGAAAGTTAATTTATAGGCTGAAAAATAGATGAATGATAACATTTCCAGGCATACCGTGTGATATTACACTGGTATTACACTGTATGTGATTAAGACAGTCGAAATAAAGCCAGCTGCTTTACATTTTTGTAATTTTTAAACCACACTTAATATGAAAAACTATTAAAATAAGAATCAAAACAGGTAGATGGGAGACTAGAGCAGCCTGATGAGTCATCACACACACACACACCAACAATAAGGTCTGCAGAAATGACACAATCACACCAGATCTCCGATTCAGCTGAAAACACAGACAGATAAAAACACTTCTATTTGAGCGCTGTCACACCACAGCGAGAGAGAGAGGCCAAACTTACACACCGTGTGAAAAAGATAACAGTAATGCTTCCAATTTTGCTACACTGAATTCCACAGCCATTGTATGTCATCTGGTTTTACCTGTAATACTTTTGCACAAACCGGTAACTCCACACCCCACGGTTTGATACTGTGCAACTCAGGGCCTGTCAGCAAATTACTCACTGTGTCACTCTCGCATTATCAATCTACAGCTGCTATTGATTTGGCTGTATTGACTCCAGACAACAGTCAGCTGGTGCACTAAGATATTTTTGCATGTCCTGTGTTTTCTAAGTATCTTTCTGCTGCATTGCTCAAACAGTCAGCACCTCTGGGCGTGCATGATATTGTGTAATGGGTGTAATGGGATCACATTGGACTCTTAAAGCTGTGTCCTGTTTGTTTCTGCTTTCCTCCTCTTTTTTTTTTTTTTTTTTACAGTTGAATTCCTAAGAAACAAACAATGTCTGGCAGATAAAGCTGCAGCTGATTGATGCTTTCTGTTGCTTATTTAGGGCCACATTCATGGAGTCAGTGAAAATAATCCAGCAGCAGCAGCATTTAGCTTGTGGGATTTTTTGTTTCTTTATCTTTGTTTGCCTTTAGTGGCTGTTACCCTGCCAAGGCTAACGTTACACTCCGTTCCTTTCGTTTTGATGTCCCAACGTGTTATTTACTCCTTACAGTGATGCTGTGGGAAGCTAAACACCAAGTTTGGGACAAGTCAACGGCGAAAGATCGCGACGTTTTGACTTTTAACGCATATTTAACGGTAAAATTAACCGTTACATGGGTGCATATGTTAGATTATGGGTTGTTAATAAGTTACTAATAAACGCGTCAACAATGAACTCCCAGTCGTTGAACCAGCAGTGTCCTCTGAAACTGGACAAAGGAAACTGGGATATATAAAAGTAGCTAACTTTACTTTTAATTTAAGCTAGGCTGTCAGTGTTGTAACCGAGTGCTTTGTCAGAATAACGTTACATGTACGCGTGTAACGTTACTCACAGTTAGGACGTACGTTAACGTTACACTGAATATTTACGTTACAAAGCTTATAAAACATAGTCTTTAACACAGTGCACCTGCTGTTTACACCAGCTTTATGAACTTTTAAGGTATTCAACAGACATTTTGTAGCAGAATCAAGTTGTTTTCTTTACCTTTCGTCTTCACGCAGTCATACAGGTGGAGGGAGGAAGGAAGCGGGAAGAAGTTACAAAAGAAAAAATGTTCCTCAGTTTTCCGTGCTCGTCTCTCCTGCTGAGCTGTTGTCACAGTGTTTTCTCTCCCCAAGTCACTCACACTAACAAGACGTCAGACTGCTCCTACTCCCAGCAGACACTCCCTCTGCCCGCCTCAGGTCGAGCCACGCTGATCCCAGAGTCAAGATACTCACCGCGAGACACAGGCAGACAGGAAGCACCGTGTGTGCTCCTTCAAAATAAAAGACAATTAAATAGGACTCACTGAGAGGACGCTAACATAAGATACAGTGATTCAAGTTTGTGCTCAGCTGTAGCTGGTCTCATGAGTTAAGTATTGAAATGCAATCTGTACATCCCCATACATTTTAACAATATTAAAGATAACTGTGAAGATGTTTATCTAACAGTGGAAATGTCTTGGATTGCCCAGGTAACATTAAAAAACATTAGAGATAAGATTAGACCTTATTAATCCCACACTGCGGAAATTCACACGTTACAGCAGCTCAAGAGTCAGAGGCAAGATATGAAAAGGATGCTCAATAAGGATAAAAATGTTACAAAAATATAAACCACATAAAGTGAAAATAAAATAATATAACACCTACGGTATATACACATTTCACTTGTACAGATACTGTATGTCCGTGATTAATAGTTGCACAGTTCAACTGAAATACACACATGGTGTCTGGTCTATTTACTGTAAACATATAAATGTATAGCCATAAATATTAATGCACAGTAAGTGGAAAATATTGCACAGTAGGAAAATACACAGGCATGTATGACAGTATTACATAAATTATGTGGATATGTACATTTATATGTGAATGTGCATGCTTATGAGGTAGAAACAGTGCAAATTAGCTGTCGTGTTGTAAGTGGTGGGTGATGGAGACAGTGTTACATTATGTTATGCCGTCTTATTAAGAAGTCTGAGTGCTGTTGGAATGAAGGAGATGTTGAAGTGCTCATTCTTGCACTGCGGGTGTCTCAGTCTGTTACTGAAGGAGATGATTAAGGCATCCATCGCCCCCATCAGCTAATAATAGCAAAGAAAGTATAATGAAAGATTAAATATGTTGGTATAGTTACACTTACCTTGCTGTACTGTGGTGATTTTTGCACATTTCACATAAGTATCAATTAATACAGGAGAAAAATACATATGCACCTGAACTGCTTTGCATGCTGGTTACTTTACTTACTTACTGTAGCCCACTTTCACAGTGTTATCAATCGGTGTAACTGAACAGTTATAATAGGGAGGAAAATGATTAAGGCCCAAAGGACACAAAGACTAGTCTGGATTCATCTGCAGGCAAGAAATCAATTTGAAAAGCTAGATCTACCTGTAATGCTAAGGTATGGCTGGGAAAAAAAACTTAATGTGTAGGTTGAAGGGACTCACCATGATTTGAATGAAAGCAGAACTGCAAATTTGAAGTTACAGTAACCTCTTTTATTTTGAAACTAAAGACCGGAAGTGCTCTGTAAACCCCTTGCAGCTTGACAGGAGTATGCTGCTCAATGGACTGGATTAACAGGTTCTGACTGAGACGAAAAGCCACTTTCCACAGAGTGAAAAGGACTCGGATCCATGCAGCTCTCACTGCTTTGTGCAGAGAGCTGAGGAGGAGGCTACCTGGGGCATCCTCACAGCAGGAAGTGCCCATCAGCTCTCACACAGCAGACCTTCATTTGCATAACACCTGGGCCTTTACTGCGTGAAATTTGCGTTTCCTGTACATTAGGGCAGGAAACGTCATACAAGTGAAATGATCCCTGACAGTCAGGAAAATCATAGGAATAAGACTTCTTAGATTTATTCAACTGTGTGTGTGTGGAATACGTGTGGGGCTGTCTTTCAGATCATACAACATACAAAAGGGTAAAACTGCACCTCAATCAGCTACAGTATTAAAATGCTGCTCACATATTAGTGCCTCAGTGGTAATGCATGTCCAGAGCAGGGGCCGGCAGTAGAGTTTTGGGGGCCCCAAGCAGGATTTTTATCCTCTTAAACCGACCTCTAAATGTAATTTATCTGACTTAAATCATTGGCAGCAGTGCTGGGAAATTCTCAAAGGACAGCTTGTGAAGACATTAAGTAATTCTCAATTACAGGTTTTTACACTGTGATATTGCTAATTACATAAATGATCTGAGCACACTTCCATTGCTTATTATATATTTGTCACAATACAATGACAATAGCCTACTTGTTTTATTATACAACTACAGCCTTTACTACTAATACTACTGTAGATACTTTTAGGATTATGAATGTTAAATACATATTGTAATGTATTGTAAATACATAAAATACTATAGACACATACTGCTCAGTGACTGTAGTACATGTAGTATGTAAACAGAGAGGGAAATTTCCATAAAACAGCTGGGGGCACCAGATCTCTAACCTGCAACCATGATCACTTTTTTGACACCACAAACATAAACAAGACATTTCCATGATCGGGAGAATCTTCTCTTTTTGGTGGTATCCTCATACTGACGATTGGACTCACAGTTTGGGCATAACAGAGAGGAGTGTGAGAGGTTTTAAATACATTAAATATGTGCCTGCTCTCTGACCTGCTCTCTGTCCCTCTCTGCTCCACTGTTACAGGTATCCCTCATTAAGTACCATGGGAACAGTCACTGATACACAAACTCACAGATGTCATTGCTGTCATCTCTGCATTTACTCACAGTGAATCCTATCCAATCCTACCAATACTGCTACTACTAGAAGTAGTACTTCTATATCCCTACTACAAATACTACAACTGCTGCTGCTGCTGCTGCTGCTGCTACAGTTTGGGCTATGAATGTAAAATACAGACATCATTGGAGTAACTTTAAAGAGCATGCATATATCAGCATCTATTATCCACTACTACAGCTTTGTAGTAATGCTATTACTACTACTACTACTATTACTACTGCTACTGCTACTGCCATTGTTTGGCCTATGGATGTTGAATACCAACATGAGAGGAGCCATACACATGTAGTGTGCAGTACCTGCAGGACAAGTAGTATGTAATACCTGTAGTATATAGTACATGTATGCAGTACCTGTAGTAAGCATGAGCCTGTACTTTGCAGCATCTGAAGTATACACTACCTGTAGTACCTGCTGTATGTACTACCTCTGTACTGGCAGTAGCAGGCCCCCCTCAAAATTCCTTGCAAAATTTTCTAGTTATTATCATTATTATTATCATTATTATTATTATTATTTAGTAGTTTGAATGATTGATTTTCTTTATTTTGTGTCATGCACACAAACGTGCCCAACCCTCATGGGTTTACGAAACCCCATTACAATGATGTTGCAGTGATCAATCCAAAGTGCATGTTGTTTTATTGCTCAGTCCTCAAACAAAATATCTTGCCTCCTATCCCAGGCCTGGCAAAGATATTCTGCCACAAAAAAAGGTACCCCCTCAGATATTTCATGGTCATCCAACCAAAAGAAATTAACATAAATAGAGGTCAATTTAGTGAATAGTACATCCCTTATATCTTCATATACAGTGCAGTAAAACAAAACAAAAAATGAACCTCATTCTGAAGTTCACCTAAATAACACAAGTCTGTCCTCCTCTGATGTGGTGTTATACCTTCCTGTCTCTAATTGATAATGTTCCTGAGTGCACATAGGGATCTTTGTTTTTTGTTTTGATTATACTTTACATAATGTTCCACACTGTAGCTATTGTTTATGAGTCAGTAGTAGTAACAGCCTGGTGGTAGTAGTGGTATTACATTATCATTACTCCATGTGGACAGTGTCCTCTGTGTTCTCAGTCAGGTAGGACATTAGAGGTGAGGGCCTCTCCATCGCCCCCTGGTGCTCGTTCCAACGAACCACATCACTTCCTCCTCTGGCTCACCGGACGAGTTGTCATGGCAACTGTACAGCATGTGCTTACAAAAACAAGAGCTTGACCGTTCACCGACACTTCTCTCGACATTCGACATCTAACGCTGCGACGCCATCTTATTCTTCTGGCATTTATCAGAGGGAGAAGACGGAAGGCGCTCGGTGCAGACAGAGGGAAGCCGAGGACGGTCAACGATGAGCGGAGCCAAAGCCCGCAGCGACGCGCCTGTTGCTGAAAATGTCTCCGGCGGCGGGCACAGCACTGCGGCTGCTCCGCGGGACCGCAAGCCCGGCGGAGGGGTTCTGAAGAGGCTCAAGTCCCGGAGGAGCCAGGTGGACAGCAGGCCCGTCACGGAGGAAGACCTGCGGACACAGAGTGGACACATCACGCCGGAGGATGTGCTAGGACTGCGGGTGGCTACGCGAGGTTTGGGTCTCTATTAAATGTCTCTTGTTGGAGCTGTGATGCTCAGTGTGCGTCCCGAGTATCTCAACACAATGTGAATGAGTCTACAACCTACAGGATACATTACATCTATAGTTACATTATGTAAAACTAGAGCCAAAGACATCCAGTTGAGCAGGCTTATTATGTGAAATTAAAATGGTATTACATCATGTATGTTTTATTATCTTAGATAATACAAATCTCAAATGGTAGATTTCATTAGAGTATCATTCACTCATGGAAAAACTGGTGTTTCTATTTGTAAGCAGCTGAGTGGACACTGGGGATTTAATCAGAGGTGTAGATTATAGGGGGGACACAGGGGACACGCCCCCTCAATATTTAGTACGCATGCATTTGTCTCTATTTGAAACATGAAAGTAGCACAGGACTTTTATTTTGATACAATTAAAGACATTTAAACCACAAATTGATGCAGAAAGGCCAGAAAGTGGTGCAGAAAAATTCACCAGAATGTTTGGCGCTCTGAATTTTCTGGCAAAGGACCCCCAACCCTCCATTTTATACATGTCCCCCCAATGTTGAAATAAATTCTTTTCCCCTGCTGTTTAATAATAAGAGGCGTCTGTGATATAAAGAGTATCCGGTGTTGCTTTAATCATATTAAGATCATTGTATGACATCAAATTCAATGCCAGGATTGATGAGAAACACCCTGTGTAGATACAAATAAATAAACAAATAATGACAACATGGTAGATTCTCATCAGCGTTGTAGCCTCGAGGCAACATATGGAATTTGCAAGG